TGTATGCTGTCCTCCGTCATCTTTCCAGACTACGTTAATTCTTTACCTCCCAATGCATTCGCAGTATTTTATTCATAGCACTTACATACTGAATACAGTTAACTGTCTATACTGTATGGTCCCTGCTAGACTATACATTCACTGAAAACAAGAAATGCATCTTGTTCATTTTTATATCTCCCACTCTAGCAATGTTTCTCCAAAACCAAAAACAAACATGAACGCCCAAAAACAGCAACAACAAAGCGAGGCATTTTAGTCACTAACTTCAAAGTTCGAGTCATAACACAATGATATTTGCAAGGCAATCAATGAATTCCTTATTTCCAAGTAATGAAAATGAGAGCAGGTCAGTGCCGAAGCAGTGCCATTGGCCATTGAAGTGCATGCCACCAAAAAATGAGGAAATGATATGGCATTACCAGAACCCATGTACATGCAATTACAGCACTTAATTTAGGGACCTGAAAAAAACAGGGAGAAATGACGTGTTTTGGTATTGGAAAGCCCACATTTGAAAAGATGCTAATTCTTAAAAATTAACTTATAAATCCAGTGCATATTCAGTCATAACTACAGCAGGACTTTTTAATGGGCTTTGTCAAACTGACTCTAAAATCTCTTCTTAAGAGAAAATATGTAGGATTTTGAACAAGAACAAAAGAAAATGTCGTCAATCACAACATACTATAAAGCTAAACTAATTAGAGCGATATGGTACTAGTGCTGTAAAGAACAGAGACCAATTAAGCAGGATTGAACCAATTTCCTAAGATATGAGCATTTGCATTAAGATAAAGATATCATTTCAAATCTGTGACTAAGAAAGGCCTTTTAAACAAATGGGATAAAATAATTGGTTATAAATGAATTACTGTTAAAAAAAATGAGACCACTCTTCCATTCTATAATAAAAACTAATTAGATAAGGAAAGGTTGAGGAGATAGATGCAAAAATAAAATAGCTTTCAAAGAAAAAAATGAAAGATTTTTTCAAAATCTTCAGATAAAGAAAATCTTCTATGGAAGTCAGAACCAGAGAAACAGAATGCTACAAAAGGGATAACTTAACATATAAATTAAAAGCCTCTGAGATTATGAAATACACCACAAAGTAAAACAATAAATAAATAATAGTAAATAAAAGACATAGTACTGAGAGAAAATACTGTAAAATTGTATACAACAAAAAGGATTAATACCCCAAAATATCCAAAAGACATAGGAAAATGGAGTAGGAAAAATACCTCAACCATCTTCTATCAGATTTTTCTTTTTCTTTTTCTTTTAATCAGGTAACAATTCACAGAAGAAACAAAATGCAAAATGCAAATGTATAGGAAAAGGTGCACAAGTTAACCAGTTCTGTAACAACTTCAAAAAATTTATTTTTGTTGCTATACTGTCAAAAATGCCAAAGACGCATGTTCTTTTTTTATCATGGAGGGTTTGAGGGAATCAGACTCCCTTATACATAGTTGATGAAGAGTTCAACTGGGCAAGCCTTTGGAATTCAATTTGTAATATTTATCAAAATGTTTATACTCTTTAAACCAAAAATTCCACTTCAAGAATCAATCCTATAAAAATACATTTACGTATGACAAAAGATTGCTCAGGGACGCTCTGTGTAGACCTGATTATAATAATGAAAAATCAGGGAAAAAATGGAGTAAAGCTCCTCAGACTTATTTTTATAAATGAGTCATATTCCCAACAGACAAGAGAAATGGGAAGGAATTTCATATAATGGGCAAAGTCACTCTGACTTGAGGTTACAGGCGCGGCTGTGCTATTGTTTGGAGTTGAATGTCACCCACCACCCCTCACTTAGAAGCCAGGCACCTTTAGCTAAGTGACTTAACCCCCTCACCCGCCATGTCTCAGCCATAGTAAACCTCGTGGCCATAGTAACCACACTTACTCCATGGATTTACTCAGAAAACTGAACAAGGCCATTCACCGAAGTCTCAGTACAGTACCTGGAACATGTATTTTGATAAATATTTGCCACACTACTATTTGTTATCTGTAAATAAGCCAAAAAGAGCATGATATGTGTTTGGGAAACTGAAAGAAGGTTGATACAGGTTGGTAGCAAAACTTTGAAACATTTACCTGAATACACTGAAATACGAATAACTCTTAACCCTAAGTACAGGGTATTTCCAAGTACCGAATAAATCTAGTTTTGTGTTTATTTACTTTCATGCTAACAGGAAAATTACCTCATGATCAGGAGCAAAACAATTTAATGTATATTGAAAGAGATTTGCTTATTTTCCTGGCAAATTTGTATAAATGATAATGAAATTGTTTACTTCAAACGTTTAAGGCTTCCAAAATTATAACTGAAAGCTATGTTTTCTGTTAGTCAAGAAGAAACTTAATTAAAAAAAAATTTTTACACTGAAATTAAATGAAGTATTTCATTAAAATAACTTCTATCATTTCATACAGAAAGATCCCTTCCTTTCAATTTCCATCAGCCTTCTGTCTTTAGGATATCAACTGCTTATTTGCTTTCTCACCATCATTTCAAATCTGTAAGTATTCACACGAACTACCATTTTAAAGCCCCTTGATTCTTCTAGATCTCCTGGCTCTTTTCATATATAAATGAAGTGCAGCATGGTTCTATAGCCAGACCACTTGGACAAAGCCCTGTTTCTGTCAGTTACTAGCTGTGTGATGTTGGGCAAATTACTTGACCTCTCTGAGCCTCCATTTCCTCATGTATATAATGGCAATAATAATACATATCTATTATAAGGTTGTGGTGAGAATTAAACAAATTACATGTCAAACAGAACAGTGTCTGGAATCTTATGTTTAACTAGCTATTGATAAACTAGTTCTCTTCCAGTTCCCCAAATTTTCCTTGTGGAACTCAACATAGCTTTCTTTTTCCTGCTTCTTTCTCAGTGCAGTGTTACATTAAGTACACTCTCTCACTGGCTTTCTGCACTCTCTAAACTCCGATGTCAAAATAATCTTCATGGCATCCCTCCTGCTTTCTTCAAAGTCTTCACAGCTTTCTTAATCATTACCCCATGTAGCACTATTTCTAAATTTTTCCCAGTAATATCAGATCATTACAATTAAAACTATATTTGCAGATACTAACTACTATATACAAAAATAGATAAATAAGTTTATACTGTATAGCACAGGGAACCATATTCATTATCTTGTAGCAACTTATGGTTAAAAAGAATATGAAACAGAATATATGTAAGTTCCTATAGGACTGAAGCATTGTGCTGTACACCAGAAATTGACACAACATAGTAGACTGACTATACTTCAATAAAAATGTATTTTAAAAAATTAAAACTATCCTTGGGTGTGAGGCAATACAAAATATTAAAAGGATTGAGTTTATTTCACTATTTAGTCTCAAGATTGAGTAAAATAGCTTGGGTTTATGATCAACATTATTTTAAAGGAATAACTATTTAATGACTAGTCAAAAGAGTAACTAACTTTAACATTATAAATCTAACTATGAAAATAGCACGAAAAATTCTGCAACTATTACTCTAACTTCTGCTAGAAGATTGATATATATTTTGTCCAGAACAGCTTTACCCAGTGGAATATTTATTTCTGTCTTGCAGCACAAGCTTTTCGTAATGAATCACATTCAAAAATACATTAAAAAAAGATAGACTAGTATATGTCAGGAAAAAAACATTGCTGATGCTGGAAGGTATTTTTCATCAAAAATTAAATATGGCACAATGGTCATTTTGTAGAGTTCATTAATGAAATTGGAAAGAGATTATTAATCTCGAGTGTTAAATTGAACTTGCAGCGAAAATTGATCAAGCTTCCCCTGACTCAGAAATGCCCCGTGGCTACTATTGATCAAGAGTTTGGGACACGGATTACAATTCATATCCAAACACAAAGAACGTGAGATAGAAACTATTTTTAAAAGAGTTCTTCTTTAAAACATACATATTATTTAGCTTAACAGAGGAAGCTTGATGGGCATGAGTTTTATTGTGGATATCCACAGGAAAACATACCTGGCGAGGCTGAAGGCATCGTCGATTAGACCTGCTCGGTTACTGACAGAGAGAACCTATGAGGTCAACCAGAATAAAAAAGTGGAATCACTTAGAATTAAAATGGCAGGTGTTCCCATGTCAAAACCTGTCTTGGACGAGTAAATCCAGCTTACCTCATGGTTCCTGATTAACTGATCAATTAATAATCTCCAATTCCTTAAATCATAGTTGACTCTAAAATAGCCTGTTTGATTGATGTTCCCCAGCAACCAGCTTCCTTTGTCCAAAGAAGTTATTCTGTGATGCTCTGAAAACAGCATTTTGGGGGAGTAAAACAGATTTAAAACATTAAGGGTTAACATGATATGAAGTATGTTTTCTTAATACCAGATATCACAGCACCAAAAACTAAAAAAGGACACCATGCTAAATTTCTAATTGAAGTCTACTCTTTAATCAGTCACTATATCTAGAATTTGCTAGAGAACCTTTCAAATGGATCACTTGTTATTACTCAATTGTTTTCTTATAATTAACATATTTGTTCTTGATAAAAGCTTATTACCTATACACAATTTTCTTTCTGAAGATAAATGTGACCAAGAAACCTACTTCTGCACTCGTTTGGCTTCTCGTATATGTAGAGATTGTGTATGTATCTGGGGTTAGAATAAGAGGAGGCTTTAGATTCATAATCTACTTATTTTACTCAGTAAGAAAGTGGTTAAAACAATAGGGTTCATCTATTTGAAAGTCACTGTTATTTCTCACCTTCTTCCTTGGAAGGACTGATAAATAACAGACTTCCCAGCATCATCAATAATGCTGGGCAAAGAAACCTCATTCGCTTTAGACTCTAATATTTTTACATATAATTAAAGCAAATATAATAAATTCTGCTTATTGGAATCACTTTGGGAAAATGCTAAGTTGATTATGTTCTCTGGCTAATTCAATTAAAGGAAGCCAGTAAAAGCAATCTTACAACGTACAATGTTAACCCCTTCAAATACAGTACAGATGGAGAACTCAGTCACTTCTAATGTCAGCCTTTATTGACTTCCCACAACCACAGTTTACAATTCTAATCACTTTGTTGCTGATGTCCTCAGGACTCATGCTTCATAGAAGCTGCATAAGTATGAAGTTTACTTAAAATTTATATTTTACACACACACACATCGGTCTATCAAATGTTCACAAGGACTCAAAGCCAGAAAATGCATCAGGGAAGCCATCTGTGTCATTTCTGAGTAAGAGGCGCAGTCTCTAATTCTCATTCTCTTATCAAAGTATTTACACATCAGACTGCAAAACAAGTTTTATTTACACATTAGACTACAAAACAAGTTTTATTTCTATTTTGGAAACACTGAATTTACAGAGTACCCTCGCTCAAGTGGAAACCATATAGGAAAAGGTTATGCCACAAAAATGACTGGATGATCATTCATGGTTATTCATTGCTCTGGTCTGGAACAGGGTGGGACAACTTATCCAATGCATGGTACATATTACCAATTTTCAAAAACGTGCAGGAAAAAAATACTTAAATATAAACGTATACGGAACACCGAAATCTAATCTTTAAAGTTTCAAATAGCACGTCCACTTCTTCAGCACTCTGATAAAGCTCATCTGTTAGAAAAGATACAGAAACGAGGCTCAGAAAGGTTAACTGAACCGTCCGCCAAGCTGGAGATGGTGCATCTCGGGTCTCCTCCCTCCCATGTCCTTCTTACACGTTATACTCTATTGATACAAGATAGTATAACACGTTTACTGTAATAAAATACATCCTTATATTGATTTGAAAAGGGAGGAAATAGCATGGGAAACCAGGATTAGAGCAAGAGTGGGAAAGCTGAACCCTTGTACCACTTGGCCTGTACGTGATGTCTGAAATTAGGCCATTGAGTCTCTTTGTTCTCAATGTCCTTACCTATAACCTAAAGGCCAACTAACGGCATTTAGGGTCCCTTCCATTCCTATAATTCAGTGGAAGAAGGGGTTATTTTTCTTAGTTTGAGATTTTTACCCAGCTAAATCTGTGGTAATAAGGAAAAGTAATCTGACAGATATAATTCTGAAATATTAATAGCTTCCCAAATTTCTGATACTTTGTATTTATATATTTTTTCAAAAATTTAATGGGTTTATCCATACAATTTCTGTGCTTTAGAATATCCCATTTTGCACATATAAAAATAAAAACAAATAATTTTTTAAAATATGACATTTTAAAAACTGAAACTCATAAAGCTTTTAATTAATCATGTCTGCCTTTACCAAAAAAAATTAAGACTGAAATATTGATGATATTGTTTCTTTTTTAATAACTCTGTCTTCAAGAATGATAAAATTTTTTATAACAATACATATTTAAATTACTTTTGAATTCACTTGGGTTAAGAATAAGTTTGATCATCTAAGAAGTGAGTTTTTTTTTAAGAAATTACAATATTAAGCATTGAGTTTAGTATATGAACACATAATTTATCTTGTTACAGCACTGAAATGCTCATGGTCTCCTATGATATTAAATCTATTTTTTAAAATTACCTTCAGCTGACATTTTAGATAGCTCAGAACGACTTAACTTCACGTGACACCCTCAGCTCTAGTTTTTAAACTCCCTGAATTTAACAAATTATGGGCAGAATAGAGACCAATTAATACAGGAAAGCAATCCATACACCTTCTATGTCATCTGAGAAGAAAAAGAAAGGCAGGAATCTATTGTTTTTAAGTATGCTGTTATTAAATTAATAACTAAAACCTGAAGGTTATTACTGTTCATGAATATTTTTATGCCTTTGGTATGAATGAAATCTTTGGAGGAATGATTCTCTGAAAGATTTTGTAATAGATTTTTAAATATCTTTTTCATTCTAGTTAATTATATCTCTAAAATGTTCTCCAAATTAACTAATGGCAGGCAATGAATTTTAAAGAGCTCTTTTCCAGTGGCCTAATGAGGTACAGTATATGATGAGTACCATAGTAAAAAGTATGGAAGCTATATTTCAGGTGTCAGTAATAACAATTAAAATTTGTATTTAGAATGTAAAATGGCACAAGACATAGACTCTATCAAGGCACAGAGTAGCTGGCATTTTATAATATGCTATGTTTTTATGTTCTCTACTTTCTTTGGGAATAAAAAGAGAAAGGAGATTAGATCTTTCTACTCAATGTTGACTACTCTGGTTGCAGAAGAGTCAAAATTTAAAACAACAAAAAAATCAATCAGGGTAACAAGGCTAACAATGTGAAACAGACTCAGGTATGACACCTGTTGATTTTCTCACTGGACTCTTGCGAGAATCAAATTAGATAACAAATTATTTAATGTTCTGTGGAAACTACAGAGAACCCAGAGAACTCTGTGTGTGTGTGTGTGTGTGT